CCTTCCTATTTGGGCAATCAAAATCACAGGAGAAAATGTTTGGTGTGTTGAGTGGTGATTCAAGTTCTGCAGGTTACACCCAAACCTACATGATGATTGCATGATGAGAAAGAGGAAGAAACAATGTATCTTGATGACTTTCTCAGCCCTTCAGATGGGATTGGGAACGTATTTCAGGCTGGTATCCTGAAACCTGTTTGGACTTCAAAGTAAATGTGACACATTTAAATGTTTGTTTCAAGAAGCCCAAATAAAGGCATACATAGTTTGGTGATAGAAAACATGTTTATTTATTTATTTATTTTATTTGTCTTGTTTATGGGCTGCCTTTCTCCAGACCAGGGGACTCCTATGCAGAAGATCCATCAGCTGATATATTCCATCTTATTTTCCTTTGACTTCTACAGATATGCTGAATCCAAAAGCATATGTTCTAAATAGTTGCACAGCCAGATCATATGGCATGCAAAAGCTAGCTAGGAAGTTAAATTAAATTAGTCCTTAAATTAAATACAGGCTTGGCCACAGCATCTTAAAGGATTTCTTCTTCTTCTTTTCTATGTACAGCAGCTTAAATAAGACACATAATTAGCAGGGTGTCAGCCATCACAAAGTCTTATGAGAAGAATTTTCTAAATGTATACTTCTTATAAAGAATTCATCGTTCACCTATATATTTTTGTACAATGATGATTCATTGAGATATAATTAACCTTTGTGAGTCACTATAATATACAAGCATATATGATTAATTCATGGCTGCATCCTATGCATGTTTTTTCTATATTACTTATATTGTGCTTAATGTATACAGAGGTGGATATATTATGAAAAATTATAATTCACTTCAGTATACAGTGGTGCCCTGCATGACAACGATAATCCATCCCATTGAAATCACTGTTTAGCGAAATCGTCGTCATGCAAAATCCGTTTCCCCATTGGAATTCATTGAAACCTGCTTTAATGCATTCCAATGGGGAAAATACCTCGTCGTCCAGTGAAGATCGCCCATAGGGAAGCCATTTTGCGAGTGCCGATCAGCTGTAAAAACGGCTGCCCTGCGAAGCATGGGTCCAGAAAACACGGGGCAGCCATCTTGCGAAACTGACGATCAGCTGTAAAAATCGTCATCTTGTGAACAAACGGTTCGCAAAGCACGGACCTAATCAACGTCAAGCGAAAATCCCCCACTGGAATGACTGTTTTGCAAATCGCTATAGCGATCACAAAGTCATCATTATGCGGATTCGTCATTTAGCAGGGTCGTCGTCTTGCGAGGTACCACTGTAATAGGTGAATGTGGCAACATGTTCTTAGTCTACAAGCAGTTACCATATCATTTAAATTTTAAAATGAGACACAGTTGTATTCAATCTACCTCTTCCACTGAATGGTTGGTTTTATGATATGACATGGAATTGTGGTCTTATCACCGGAATGCAGGTGATTATAAATAAGAATGTGTAAAATATGAATTTAGCTCAGGGTGCTAAGATTGCATCAGGTTGCAAAGGTGAAAAACAAAGTCCTAAGGAGAATGCATGGAGACCAAGAAATCAAAAAGAACATATAATATAGAAAATTGGTAAACTTCTATATCACACTAAGTACTGTATAGCATAAATTGTTGCATCGTACTATTCAAGGCAAAATACATGGGAAAAGAAATACAGGAAGAAAAAAAAACCTTTTGGGAGTTGCAGTCAAAAAACACCTGGGTTACTCAAGGTTGAGAACCACTGCATTAAGGTACTTTTCAGAAATGGTTTTACATTTAATTACATTTGTTTACTCTGTTGTTTTTATTCTATTTGATTTGGCTGCTGTCCAGCACATATTTAGGCTGCTTCAGCAGCCTGTCTCTACCAGGCTGCAACTGTAGTTATATATTATTTTATTAAAGACGTGTTGAAGAAATGTTGTTTGGAAAGATGGCCAATTTAAAAAATGTAAGGCAGTAAATAATGAGCCTAATTTAATGTTAATACTGTACTACTTTGAATAGACCCACTGGGCTAGTATTTCTCGATCAGAACTAATGTTAAGTCCCACTAATTCCAATACAGTAAGTCTGCTTTAGCCAGGCCTAATGCTGGAATTCCCACTCAACCATGGAGACTCACCAGGGATTTGGAAGTGGTAAAGCCATTCCATGAATATCTCACTTACCATGATGTTAGGGTCACTATAAGTCAGTTCTGACTCGCTGGCACATAACAAATGCAGAATTTAGCCCACTGTGTGCAGTTGTTAGTCTGTTCACTTAGAGATACGTTATCAAGTTAAAGAGGGCCTGTTCCAAAGCAAATAAGCAAGGAGTGTAAGGTGAGTTATGTTTGATAGGCTATCACTTCATTTTTATCTGACAGGTAACACTGACCTTCTGTCAATTAAACAAGCTAGCTTTTTTAAGCAGACAGATTAGAGAAATCACATTAATTGTGACTGAGTAAACCTTTCTGAAGAATAGCTGTGCTGTTTGATGGTAAGGTAAGTAATTTCAAATGAATAAAGTTTTTACTGTTACTATTCAATGAAGCAGAAAGCAAAACTATAAAAATGATTAAAAAATAAACATTTACAATTGTTATTCTGCACCACATTAACTTCATTGTTTACTTCTCTATGTCTTATGCTGATTACTTTATTAATTACAACTAGATTGTCATTATATTACTCCAGAAGATAGCTGCTTATATGAATTGATCCTATGCAAAATTACTTGGAGGAAATCCTGAAAACTATACAGTATAGGTATAGATTGGATTATAACCATGCAGCAGAATCCTATGCATGCTTGCCACCAAGTAAATGGCTTGGGTCTAAGCTATTTCAAGGACTGCATCACCGCTTATGAGCCTGCTGTAGTGTTGAGATAATCAGGGAAGGCCTTTCTCTTGGTCCTACCACCCTCACAGGTGCGTCTGATGGGAACATGAAAGAGGGCCTTCACTGTTGTCACTCCCAGACTTTGGAACTCTCTCCCACAAGCGGCCAGACTGGCCCCATCTTCATTGACCTTCTGCAAATAGATGAAGACCTTTCTCTTCATGGAAGGTTTCCCTGAGTGTCTAGCTGCCTGAGTGGAGTTTTCTAATTGGATTGCTGTTTTTTACTAGAGATGTAAAATTTCCAAAGATTTATTTTTTTCTGGAAAAAATGTTTCAATTTTTTTCTGGAAAAAATGTTTCCCATTTTCCCCCTGGAAAAAATGGAAAATTTCAGAAATCTTGCATCCCTAGAAATTAAATATGCAAAGTCCCAGAAATATTTCATTAGGGTCTTCATCTTATATAGTTTGAGCACCACAACACAGATGTGTTAATCATTGTAAAAGAACTAATTCCACACTCCAATTTTTTTTTTTTTTGGAGGAGAAGGTTTTACAACACCTCCCCAAACCTGTTTTCCCTCCAATTTTACTTATTTTTTCCCCAGGCCTTCTCATCTCTCTTTCTTACTGTTTTGAATGTGTTTTGGTGTTGCTTGTGTTTTTTTGCATAGTATTTCATCCTTTGTAGTATTTATATAGTTAATATCATTAGCTTTCATATTGTCTTTTCATGATGTAAGCTGCATTGGGTCCCTTTAAGGAGAAAGGCAGGGTAAAAATATTTAAATAAATAAATAAAATGAATAAGTTTTACTAAGTTCAGGGAGAATGACTTTTTAGTGAGTACTTTTTAGACTCCAGCCTTATGGAGTCATCCTCAGCAGACTTATTAAGAAATCAGTCCCCCAGATTTAGGTGATATATATTCTGGAGTTACGATTTATTTAATATTTCTATATACATTTTATTTTCCAGTATTTTTAAAGTTTTTCTTGGATCCCTGCTTGCTTACCAAAATGAAATTCTAGCCATGATGGTGGTAGAAGACATGATAGAATATTAAAGAAAATTACTATAAAAGTAATATCTGAGATGAAAAACCTGAAATAGAAAGTCGAGGATCACACCAGCCACAAATTAACATTGGGCATATTTTCAAATAAGATGCTTTGCCTACTGCCATAGAAAGCACAGCTTGACCGCCATTGAAAAGGTTCCCTGAACATGATGGTGTTCAATTCTAATGAGGAGTGCATTGCCAGTATATCAACAGCCGACACGAACAGGTGTCCCGTGACTTTATATGATTTGCTGGATTTATTAAATCTGACCAATCTCACCAAGGCTGAGTTTCTCATGGGGAAGGGAGAAAAAGCAGCAAGTTCCGTCTGACATCTTCTGCCCCACTCTCTTGGGTTTAAAAACAAAGTGCTGTTGCTGCAGACTCCATGGGAATTTGGGGCCTTAACAATTTATTTATTTATTTATTTGAAATTTTTCTGCCCCGCCTTTCTCCGCAAAAGGACCCGAGGCGGCTAACAATGACAGCACAGAAGTTTGGAACTGTTGGTAAGAACTTGATGCACAAAGAAGATGATTGATCACGGAAAGCTCCACGGTTGTTGTTTTTTTGCTTTATATCCTCAATGGTCGATTGAAGGCATCACTTGCTCCTGCAAGAATTGGTCTTCTTTCCACGACCTCTCCCTGGGTTCTGCTTCGTTCACGTGTTTCAGATCCCAGCAAGTTCAAACGCCTCTGTCTGCCGCCGAGGCGGCCTCGGGGGCCCGTCGTTTGACCGGGGTTTCGGGTCGATGCGATGTTTCGTTCGTCCGGAGAGGCGAGGGGCCGGCGCCGAG